CATCCAAAGAACACCATACCTACTGTGAAACATGGGGGTGGAAACATCATGCTTTGGGGCTGTTTTTCTGCAAAGGGACCAGGACGACTGATCCGTGTAAAGGAAAGAATGAATGGGGCCATGTATCGTGAGATTTTGAGTGACAACCTCCTTCCATCAGCAAGGGAATTGAAGATGAAACGTGGCTGGGTCTTTCAGCATGACAATGATCCCAAACACACCGCCCGGACAATGAAGGAGTGGCTTCGTAAGAAGCATTTCAAGGTCCTGGAGTGGCCTAGCCAGTCTCCAGATCTCAACCCCATAGAAAATCTTTGGAGGGAGTTGAAAGTCTGTGTTGCCCAGCGACAGCCCCAAAACATCACTGCTCTAGAGGAGATCTGCATGGAGGAATGGGCCAAAATACCAGCAACAGTGTGTGAAAACCTTGTGAAGACTTACAGAAAACGTTTGACCTCTGTCATTGCCAACAAAGGGTATATAACAAAGTATTGAGATGAACTTTTGTTATTGACCAAATACTTATTTTCCACCATCATTTGCAAATAAATTCTTTAAAAATCAGACAGTGATTTTCTGGATTTTCTTTTTTCTCCTTTTGTCTCTCATAGTTGAGGTATACCTAGGATGAAAATGACAGGCCTCACATCTTTTTAAGTGGGAGAACTTGCACAATTGGTGGCTGACTAAATACTTTTTTGCCACACTGTATTTCCACTCGACTTTAAATGTAGCACTATCTGATTATTTGCATGTGTGCACCTATACCTGTGTGTATTTGTACTGTATTTGTAGAGTGGACAACTGAATATACCCTGAGGAAAGATCTTCATTATAAAAAAGAAATAATGTAATTGAACTTTCTTACAAAACAAACAGACACAAGCTTTTCAGATGTGCTCTCACCATTCCAAACATGCCCGGCTTATCCTCTGGTACGTGAATGTCGGGGTAAATATTATCCAGATACCACTTGAAGTTCTTACAGCCCAGCTTCTCTCTGAGCTTCCTCCGTGCTGTCACATCTCCAAAGGCCTCCTGAAATCAAAGACCACAAATGTGTTTATCAGAACACTTCTGCCATAATAACCTGAGAATCAAAACACTCACAAGAATAACAATTGGTACGGTGTTCAAATTAAAACGTGTGAGTGTGCTCTTGATACTGCAGTGTCAGAGAGGACACACTCAGAGGATAGTTTTGTGCTGAAATGGTATACAACAGCACCATCTATAGTTGTAATATAGTAATAATAGGACACTTACAAGGCTTGTTTAAAGGGAAAAACCAGACGGTAAACACAAGGTTTAAGATACTTCAATATAAATGTACATACTGCTCGTCAGACTTCATAATAAGTCTGCTGATTCTAACAGCTGTTTGCAGTGAACGAGGTACTATTTCACTTTCTATGGGAATTCCCAAAAGATAAAAACTTTTTAAGGATGTAATAAAACAAGTTTAATAAAAACTTTTTTTGTAAATGTCAAATTTCTATATTAAGTGTTAGGGAATAATTCTAACTCCTTTACTCCTAAGATGTTTAACCTTTTTGCCCTTTGACGTTTATGGCCAACCCTGTCTGTTATCTCCCTTAAGGAATGTGCTGCTCCAGCTATATGTTGATATTCCCAGTTTATGACCGGGCAACTCTCGGTCATAAATGGTTTATGGTTGTGAGAACGCTGGAACACTTCCTTCTCGGTGTTTGTGGACTCCAAGGTGTAATCTTCGAGGCCATGAGGGTCAGGCAAGTGATTCAGTGTCCCCAGATGTTTAGGCAATCTCCAGTGTTCCCAGATGTTTAGTTTATCTCCCCCACTATGTTGATTACTCTCTGTGAACCTATTAAAAAGGTCTAGCAAAAGAGAGGCGCTTCAGAATTGACGTGGCAACTCTCCCGTGCAGTCAGCACCTCTGGCTGCTGTGACTTGTGATGTGAATCCTCCGGCCGATACTCCTAAATAAACCATCAGTGTTTGACATCGAAGCTCCAACTCTCCTCGTGTCTCTCGGAGTCCTGACTCTCCATTGCTACAGAAGTTTCCCTTACATTAAGTCCTCCTGATATATTCCAAACACACAAGCATCGGAGCAGACTAAACTTCTGGATTGTTCCTAGCAAAGACAGCCATGGCATTTTGAAAGATTAGGATGCTCCTTCCTTGAGGATGTGGAGATTTAAAAATATATCTGTCTTGAAAAATTAGTTTACATTGACAAAGGGCAAAAATAATTACTTTGTTCAGCTGTGGGAACCTTAGATAAACACCATGGAAGTTGAAAATGTAGGCTCTACCTGAAAGGAAAGTATAAACAGTTTTGTTGTAATCTTCCTGATATTTGTGAAATAAACATTTTAGGGGACAAAAAGTACTGCTTTTTCTACATCCTGGTTGATAGAGAGCAGGACGAGTATCCATGTGTGTCTTGGCATGTCAGTAGATGCAAACAATGACCACACCTTCCCTGCTGGAGGAAGAGTTCAGACGCTCTGCAGGATGATGGTGGTTCGCCCAAACACAGCTTTAATTGGCCCTTCATCGATTGACTTTCCCAATAGACGGATTCCCAAAGGACAGAGTCAGCTGACAATGTGGAGGACCAGTGAGGGCCACTACAGTTTATGAGGCCAATAACAGGCAAATTGAAAGATGGTATTTAAATGACAGTAAAGAGCAAATGTAAGAGTGACACGCAATGACAACCCAGTATATGGATCAGTAAGGGAGTCACAAACAAGGAAGTGTAAGCAGATCATGGGAAAACATTGGATACAGATTCACTTTTGTATCCGAGTCATGTCTGAAAACGATACACTGTTGCAATTTGAATCTACTTTATTTAGGTTGCACACCGCCTTATTACTTATTTACCAAGAGTTGTAAACATGGAGTAAAGAGGAGACTCATCAACTCGACAATTCAGCGATCAATCATCCTGTAACCGTAATGTAATGTTCTGTAGATTCTTTTGGTTAAGATGACGTCGTTGCTGCTTTATAAATATTGAAATGATCCATCAATATATTACGTTTAAGACTGTCTCAAATGACATACATAGAGGGCTTGGATCCAACAACTATAATGTGAAGTTGTGATTTAGTCATACCAGACCTAAATGAATTAATTATTTACACAAATAAAAATCTCCCTGTCTTAGTTTATCTCTAAAAAAGGGACTGATAGTTCCTGAAGAGAACAAAGGAAGACCTTTGTGTGTGTGTAGTGTCTGCTTTGACATGTCTGCCAGCGTCACGTAGTAGGAAGTGGGAATATGCCAAAAATATCTTCAGAAAGATACTTGGGTTGATGATCTCTTCAAAAGGTTTGATAAAATCTCTACCAGTGTAAATCAAAAACTGCAAACAAATGCCAGAAAAAGTTTCATGAAACCTATGAGATAAAGGCTGTCATAGGAAAGTTTAACAGCATCAAGAAAATAAAACATGTTGAATATAAAACGTCTCAAAATGCTGCATGTATGACCATGTGTTTGAGTGTTTCTTTAGAGGGTTTGGTTTATTAGGTTTGCCGAGCCACTGCGAATTTGGCAAGACTTCCTCCTCTCAGGGACATAAGTGCCACCTGATCTGTGTTTAGAGAGCCTCTCCTCNCACCAATTGTGCAAGTTCTCCCACTTAAAAAGATGAGAGAGGCCTGTAATTTTCATCCTAGGTACACTTCAACTATGAGAGACAGAATGGGGTTCTTTCCCCCCATTCTGTCTCTCATAGTTGAAGTGTACCTAGGATGAAAATTACAGGCCTCTCTCATCTTTTTAAGTGGGAGAACTTGCACAATTGGTGGCTGACTAAATACTTTTTTGCCCCACTGTATGTTGTGTTTTTTCATGTGACACAAAACAAAAACAAAAAAGCGTTTGCACATAGTGGACGTTCGCTCCAGACAGCAGTGATATGACAACATCAAATAAACCCCCCACCTGCAACCAACCCCTTTAGTTTTCATTTACATAATATACACACATCTACATTCACTAACTAAGTCGAAAAATATAGTCCATCCATTTCAATTTTTAATGTGTAGTCTGTCTAGGAGTCTTTTGGCATCATCTAATTTCAAAGGTTTATTGACCTTATTAGTTTCTCCATTATAGCTGAAGAGCCGCGGCAAATCCAACTACTGTTTCGACTACAACCCTTCAGACGAGCACAACGTGGTGGGACAAAGAGTCATCCTGTACCAGTGTCACGGCATGGGGCAGAACCAGGTAATGCACGCCAGTCTCTCAGGACATTAGCCATTAAAGGGTCACTTCAGTCCGTTAGAATGGGCATTACATGTCTTCCTTTAGCGTTGTGAAATGTTTGATTAGTCTTAGTTTCACTGGAGAACTATTTCATCAATCATTATCATCACTTCTAAGACTTCAATCCTCTAAACTTGACAAAGGTTTGTATTGCTATCTTACAAATCTTGCATTAGGGAACTAGTAAGCCTTTTCCCAGGTTGAAAAATGATATGTCAGCCTTTGTGACACACCTTTATGCTCTGTGGTCAAGGAAGCAGAAATGTACCACTGTTTCTCCAGCAGCCCTCTGTACACACACACACACACACACAGACAGACAGACAGACAGACAGACAGACAGACAGACAGACAGACAGACAGACAGACAGACAGACAGACAGACAGACAGACAGACGTATTCTAGAAACATAGGCTTTTGCTGTCTGCCTTATGGGACTGCATGATGTAAACTCTCCCTAAACACACACCTGCATTATACATGTTTGTATGTGTAGTACAATAAATAAATAAACACACTCACAAGCCATCTCTCAGTATGCTGGGTCCGTTATCTTTCCTGGTACATGCCTTCTTCTGAGTCACACATAAACATGCAAACATACATGGGTATTCTCTGTGTCTAACATGACCCTCTGAAATATTGCAAAACCTAAATGCATTTGTGTTTTGGTTATAGCAATCAGTTGAGTTGCAGTGAAAAATTAACAATTAAGTTACATGCATGACTTGATATTTCTTTGACTCTATATCATGTGGAATTTTAAGTGAGATTTACATTACACATTTTGCACTTCCTCCCGCAGTTCTTTGAGTACTCCACAGAGGGTGAGATCCGCTACAACACCAGGGAGCCTGCTGGGTGTGTTGTGGGTGACCCCATCAGCACCTACCTGACCCTCCAGCTGTGTCGGAAACGAGGACAACCCATGCCTCAAGACCAGAAGTTTGTCCTCCGGGAGGTAAGGAGCTCAATCCTGGTATACGCAAAGAGGCAGTGTGTGTGGAGAGACAGGAAGTGACATCATGGTGGCAGTAAAAGTGCATGATAAAATGAGGTTCTGATTAGATTTCCTTTTTAATGTTTGACTTTCTTTTGTTCACATTTATTTATTACTTTCCTTCTTGAACCACCACTAATGCTCTTACTATTTCTATCCCCTGTTTTCCAGATCTTAACCAATCCAATCATCTAAAAGCCTTTCCTCTTTTATTATTAGGATGTGATTCTTTTGCCCCATACGAGAACATCCTGTGATGATTTTATTATCTTCATTTGTTTTAAAATATCCTTATTGTTTTTGGCAATATATGAAGTTGTCCTATTCATAAATTCTCATCATTATTATTTTATTGATACTATTGTAGAAGTTGTGAAAAAAAAGAGACGAGAACAACCTGTATTTTTGACTATACAACGCTTGTGTTGTTTATTGACCAGCTAAAAGCTCAACAAGTATGTGAAAGCGTTACTTTCAACACTCTGTTTCCATAGTAACACATTGACACTGTCCAACTCTTGTGTGAAGGTATAACATCCCAGAAAAGGCACATAAGTTGATTGCTAGTTTTTAACCACAGACAATGGTGAAATATGTCCTTACAAATCTGCTACAATATAATAATCTCAAAAGTGTTATTACTGGATTGAAGCTGAGATATTTGAATCAAGACGTCCTTGCACGGCCAAAATCTGCTGTAATTCTTGTCAAACTCTTATCAAGCACATACAGAGATACTCCACAGTTGTGTAGCTGATACCAAACTGTAAATCACACCGTTAGCATTCTTTTCCGCATGACACTGCTACTTGTTAAGCCTGTTTTCAGTGTAGTTACACCGTGTTGTGTCAAGGCTTAATATAGTTGTATATAGAGAGAGAAGTAAACTGACAAAGATAATATCACTTTATTGAGCAGCTGATTATTTAAACATGTCTTGGATAGCGCTAATAGCTACTTTCTAACTGCTCTTGCCATTTGAACGAATAACCAGCAAATAACTTTGATTTAAAATGCATTTTCTCCACCTCTCTGTTTCAGGACGGTAACCTGTACCATGAGCTGAGCCAGAAGTGTGTGCAGGCGGTAGACAAGACAGAAAACGGGACCCCAGCCCCCTCACTCCAGCCCTGCTCCGACAGCCCGCACCAGAAGTGGTTCTTTGAGGAGAGAATGTAATGGTATCAAACTAGCAGATATTTCTATTTTTCATTCAGGGCTGATATCCTGTGGAGGGATATGTTTTCCACACATTTTTGTGCCAGCTGGACTCAATGGACCAATTAGAAATGATACCGACAAGTACTTACTTTAAGTACTTTGTAAATATATAGGGAGATATTTGTTCTAGGATGCTGTTGCTGGGAGACAGGAGCCAACTGAAATATGCATAGTTTTTTCTAATCAAGAAGGCACTTGACAATTATTGAGAACCTGAAATTGTACATGCTGATATTTTTCATTTTTTTCTCCTTTGCACACGTCTCTAGTGGGCAATCTTTTAGCTCAACTTAGCACTTGCTTCACGCACACATGGACACTGAAACGTCTGTGTGTCGGTCTTAATGAAAATAACAGTTTTACACCTCTTTTAACAAACTCAAAGCCCCTCATGTGCTAGTGGCTGACATTTGCAGAGCCGCATCATGAGGCATTTTCAAAATGTTTCAACTTCTCCTGTAGAGGGGGCCAACGCTCCTCTCTGCAAGTTCCTCTCTTTCACTGTTTTCTCTCTTCGTAGAGAGAAAGTTGGAGACATATTCAGGTATTTCGTTGGGAATCTTTTGAGTGCTTTATACTCTTACACACAGTGGCTTAGGAAAAGCCTTAAAGGGGACCTATCATGCAAAATGCACTTTTTGATGTCTTTTATACATAAATATGTGCCCCCGGCGTGTCAGGGAACTCACAAAGTGTCAGAAAATAAAAGCCTCTCTCTTTTCCTCCGTACGCAAATCTCTGAAAAACGGGGCTACAACGAGCTGATTACGTCATATCGGATGGCACCCACGTGGTGGACCCACGGCCCTATCAGAAAGTTGCTATCAGAATCAAGGCCCGACGTGTTTTGGACGTAATATGGCCTTTGTTTACATTAGCAATCATCGCTAACACTCGGAGCTAACCAGTACTGGAGAGAGCACATGTGTGAAGAAGCAGGAAATAAAAAGGAACTCACCTTGTGGTAAACCGGCAAGAGAGAAAGAAAGCCTTTGAGCTCCATACTGTTTCAGAAATAATCCTTGATGTAGTTTTGGCAGCATTTATTTTAGACAGTGTCTGCCGGTCCCGCATGAGCAGGCATAAGCTCCGCCTCCTCTTTTTAATTTCTTTTAAAAAGCTTTATACCCCGAATCAGCACTTTAGTAACAGGAAGTGAAATAGAGGGATATGAGGCATGGCTAGAATGGGTGATCTGTTTGGTATTTTGAGCAAAACACTTCATAGACATGTTTTTTATACATTTTTATATATCTGAGACCTATGCTATTGCCTAAATATTGCATGATAGGTGACCTTTAAATCACAGGCATTATGCAAGTACCCAGTACTTCTTTGACTTAATCACCTAACTACTGATAACGGGAGACTCCAAGTCATTTTGCTTTTCAAATGAAACTTTGAGGTAAAATGAAATTCGTCATTCGGGAGGTTTTGGTTTCCTTGTTTTCAACGTAATGTACTTGCCTCTGTCATGTGGTCTTTAAATGATTTGCAGCTTCAAAAGACTAAATCATAGCCATATTTTCTATCATGTCGTGTCAACTATGTTTATTTAAAATATTTAATTTCTACATAAAACTAAATACTTTAATTATAAATAAGTGGGAATGTATTCACTTAATGATCATAAGTGCAAATTGCAATAATAACATCCTCTTCCCCATCTTAACTTCACACTTGAAGCCCATAGAGTGCCTTAATGTAAAACAAACTGTAATTATAATTTAAGATATCACTTGAGGATACTTTTGTACAGACTCTAAATTATGTCTCAGATATAATGAGTACAGAAGGAAGAATTGTTACAAAGCTGCTTACCACATGTATGTATGCTCCTACAGCACGCACAGGGACGATGTTTTCCCCCTTTGAGTGCACAGGTGTGACTCTGGTAGTTGTACTGATTTGTGCACACTGCCTCCTGCTTCCATCGGTCAGAACCAGACGGCTATAGATCTCCCTGTTGTTGCGGTCACTTGTGTGGCTCTCCCTCAGGCGATGCAGAGGGACCGGGGGAAACACAGCGGAGGAGGACACAGTTGTTGGTTGTCTCCGGAGCGCCGGGCTGCCAGATGGCTTCCTGATTGATTTTCTGGTCCTCTCCCAATTCTTTATCACCAGCTCTCCCTCTCCGTGTCAGAGGTGTGCAGCGGACGACTTATCTTTTGGACTCGCGCCAGCCCAATCCTCCTCAGATGAGCACTTGTTACTCGTCTGCTTGAGATTTGATTTATGAATGGAAGCCATCAAGAGTACAGTTTTTTTGGCAGCAGGAGAAGATAATGGAGGAGCCTGAATGAAGCAATTTGTGACCTCTTCCTTACCATTAACCTTCACAAGCTGCTGGCCCCTTGCTCTCAAAGGAGCTTTGTTAGAAAACTATCCAACTGCAACATGAATGTAAACTCCAAGAAGGATAAATAGAAGATGGAAAAACACAATTTTGCCAGTCCCACAGTGGAATCAGAATCTTTTCATTTGCCAAATATTATGATTGTACAATGATGTGCATGAACATCGTAACATCTGTGCGTATGAGCTCATATACAAGCTTAAAGGGACAGTGCAAGATGTGCTTTACTGTATTTCACTCTCTTACTGCTCTGAACATATATTTAGTGCAGTGTGCAGGGCATTGTGTCATGTGATAGCTGAACTGTTTAGGATAAAAGGCACACAAGACAATATTGAAAGACGGATGTAATTTGTGGGGTTGAAGTTCCCGGTAATCCATAAAAGCTTTTGCGGGCTTGTGAGTGCTACACGAGTGTGCAGACAGAGCTCGCTGATAAGTGGAATTGACCAAATGACTGTAGGAAGATTATAGCCAGCTCCATAGAGGGAAGGAGTTTGGCAGCTGTCTCGGCATTGTATAAATGCTTTTGGTGATAAAGCTTGATCTCATATTAACAGAAGAGTATCACTCGCCCAGAAAGGTTTTAACAGGTGGTTCTTTAGGTGTCCACGGGCTCTAGCAAGACCCTGATATGATTTAAGACTTAAAAAAAGCTGCTTCATGAGTATTAACCATCACAGATTGGATCAAACAGGAACAGGAGAGATCACCCTTTTAATATAGTGCTCATGCTTTATGTATTGAACACTTAAGAAGTGACAGCTTTTCCATTCCTATCAGTTTGTGTCTTTAGCCAGTGAGTGCAGTATAAATATTCTGTCTGTTATTAAAAGGGTTATTTATTGTCCCCCGTGACCATCTGCTATGCCAGACATGTCCTCCATAGTCAAATATAATTTACGCTGCCGTTATATTGTATGCTAATACGGGACACTTGGCTGCAATAAAACTGATATTCTCCAGTCGAGGATCACATCTCTCTGGCAGGTCATATAGTGCTTTTATATCAACTAAGCCCAGGTCGTAAACAGTTGTGACTTCCCACGGATCTGTGGAGCACTTGAACCTGTAAAGTAGCTGATTATCACCCAGCACTAATGGACCGTGCAGTGCTGCTTTCCAATACCATGAACATATCTTCAGTTTGTAATGATACAATTCCCAGTGGAGACATTTCAGTTGTGGTAAACATGCACAAATAATAATGCTGGAATTCAACACCGTGACTGGTGTAATAAAGCTGTCAACTCCAGCGGCCTTATATTGTAAAAAAGGAAGTGAAGGATGTGATTAACAATATTTTTGTGATAAATAAAGCAATAAACCGACCATATCTGATGTCAATGTATCTATTTAGCTGTTTGTTAATTGTAAGTTAAGTAATCATAATGTTGAAAATGTGTTTTCTGCCTGTTATGGGCCCTTTATTGCTCATGTTCAGGTTTCATACATGTATTCTGTGCCTCAGCTGTGAAATGTTCCATGCTTTAATGTTCAAAAAGGTCTTCATTTTTCTCATACTGCCTGTGATGCAGCACCTCTTTTCACCCTCTGTCTGAAACCAGAGCCTAGTCTGTTCTGATTGGTTAGCTGGCCGGCTCTGTTGTGATGTATCAACCGCTTATAGATGTCCCGCCCCTTGGCCTATCAGGTACAATGCGTTGGAGCCCTAGCCAGTAGAAGCAAAAGTGTTACGTAATGATGTCATTATATTACAGAAGCAAACAAAGGAGTCCAATGGAGGTGTTTCAGGCAGGGGGGAGTGTGTGGGAGAGAAACTCCCTCTCGAGAGTACTTTAGGATTCAAGCCTTTGCAGACTATTAACATGCACAATAAATTATAAAACACTACAGGAAAGGGAGAACCCCAAAAAGCATAATTGGGCCCCTTTTTAAAATGTGTATCACTGGAAGGCTTTATTCATGAAATGCAACCCAGAAAATACTTTTGCTCTCACTGTAAATCATTGCGTATCCATTTAAGTGTGACTCATCAGAGAAAAACAGGCTATCATCCACATTTAGCTGCGATGGAGACGTGAATCAAGCTGCTCCGAGGGTAATGAGAGAAGAAAAAGAGAAAAGGGGGGGGGTTGTGTGTGTGGGGGATGTGTTAGTTTTCCATAGCCATATCTGGATGTTTTGTATTCACCTTGTTTTGCTGTTATTGTGATAGATATGGTTGAATT